TGTGCACGCACGGAGGTGGCCGGGGTTTGCACGCACAAAGGTCTGCTTTGCACAGAGGGTCTGGGGTTTGCACGCACGAAGGCTGTCTGGTTTGCACAGAGGGTTTGGGGTTTGCACAGAGGGTTTGGGGCTTGCACGCACGGAGGTGGCCGGGGTTTGCACGCACGAAGGCTGTCTGGGGTTTGCACTGGAGATTCCGGGCTTCCATGCGCAAAGGGTTTGGAGCTCTGCAACCCCCCGCCCTGCTGATTTCCACCCCCCCCGCCCTGCAGGCCCCATCTGCCTCCCGAACCAGCACTACGAGCTCTGCGGCCCAGCCTGCCCGGCCACGTGCTGGGGCCAAGCAGAACCGGAGGAATGCGAGCAAAACGCCCCTTGCACCGAAGGTTGCTTCTGCGACGACGGCTTCTTGCTGAGCGGCGACCGCTGCGTCCCCCTGGCCCAGTGCGGCTGCTTGCACGAGGGTCGCTACTACAAAATCGGCGAGGAGTTTTTCGCTTGCCCGCGTTGCAGCGAGCGTTGCGCTTGCAAAGGAGCCGGGGCGGTGGATTGCAAGCCGGCGGGTTGCGCCGCGGGCGAGATGTGCATGGTGCAAGACGGGGTGCAAGGGTGCTACCCCCAGGAATGCGGGCGCTGCCAGGTGCTGGGAGCGGTTTCCTACAGCACCTTCGACGGGCGCTTGTTGCATTTCGCCGGCACCTGCACCTACACGCTGGCGGCGGCGGAGGCCGGCAGCCCCGAGGACGCGCTGGTGCCCTTCGCGGTGGAGATGGAGAAGGAGAAGGGCAAGGAGGGACCCGTCATCCGCCGGCTGCTGGTCGCCGTGCAGGGAGTCACCATCGGCCTGGCCCGGGGCGGCCGGTGGGAGGTGACGGTGAGCGGAGCTGCGTTGGGGTGCAAAAACCGCGTTGGGGTGCGAAGCGCAGGGTGCAAACTCCTCCCTAGGTTGCAAATGCTATTTTTGGGGTGCACAGCGAGAGGTGCAAAGCCTGCTTTGGGGTGCAAACCCCGCTTTGGGGTGCACGGCAGGACATGCAAACCCCGCTTTGGGGTGCAAACCCTGCTTTGGGGTGCACGGCAGGACGTGCAAACCCTGCTCCGGGGTGCAAACTCTGCTTCGGGGTGCATGGCAGGCTGTGCAAACCCCGCTTTGGGGTGCAAACCCTGCTTTGGGGTGCACGGCAGGCTGTGCAAACCCTGCTCCGGGTTGCAAACCCCACTTTGGGGTGCAAACCAGGACATGCAAACCCTGCTCCAGGTTTGCACTTTGGGGTGCAAACCCCGCTTTGGGGGGCACGGCAGGATGTGCAAACCCTACTTTGGGGTGCAAACCAGGACGTGCAAACCCTGCTCCAGGTTGCAAACCCCACTTTGGGGTGCAAACCAGGACATGCAAACCCTGCTCCAGGTTTGCACTTTGGGGTGCAAACCCCGCTTTGGGGTGCACGGCAGGACGTGCAAACCCCGCTTTGGGGTGCAAACCC